GGGAGCATCTCCACTGCCGCTGCCCAGCGCACCCCCACCAGGCCCCGCACCAGGCAGGGAGTATGGCGGTTCCCGCCCCGGAACCCCTTGTTCCTGGGCTTTGAGGCCCATGTGAAGCTCCGCATTTACACACCTCAGGTAGAGCCTGCGGGACACGACAGGCATTGACCTCGGGGCCTTCCTGTTTGTTAAGATCCCCAAAGACGGTATTTGGGGAAGGCCCTCGGTCTGCTGATTAGAAGCAGCCATCACACGAGAAGACTTGTGAGTAAGCGGGCTCTCGAAAGAGTCAAGAGCTCTGGGAACACAGGGAGTTGAGTTTTGCACCCTTTGAATGCTGGGAAACAGTTCTGGTAAAACCTCAGTACACCACAGCCAGGCCTGTGTGGGATGTGGTGGGGTGACCTCTGCCCGCCCCTCCCTGCTCTGTGACCGAGGCCCTGCACCTGTCCCGCCCCTCCCCGCCCCGTGACAGAGGCCCTTTAGCGTCCCACAGCTGCGCAGGCCTTGGAGCCAACGGGAGGGGAAAGCCGAGGCTCTATGGGTGAGCCCGGGCTGGAGCAGGGAAGCAGACTTGAAAGTGCCTGGGGACACACAGGCGGACAGACCGGCCACAGGCAGAGGTGGCCCTGGCCCAGGGCTGCTGCTACAGGCGGTATGACCTAGGATGAGTGCCCTGGCCTCTCTGAGCCTCAGCTTCCCCCTCGGTAACATGAGGGGAAGGCAGTCGGGGCAGCTGTGCAGATTTCATATGATGATGCACTCAGACCCACAGTCTGGTGCCTGGGGGACGGTCAGTATTCATGACGTGGCAGCTGCTGGGCGGCCGCTATGATTTTGTTCCAGTGCCGCTGAGAGACTAACAGAGAGGCCATGCCCCGGGGCCCGTTGTGGGCCCAGAATATAGCAGGTCTCCCAGCCCTGTGCTGCCCCCCAGCCGCGGCCCCACCAGGCCACTCTCACAAGCTCGTTCATTGTTTAAGCTTCTCAAAACATAAAGGGCCTGAGTCTTAGATGGAGCACGGGGCTTCGGCAATTCCCGCTGTCGGCTCAAGGACAAACAGCGCCTTGCAAGGACCTCAAAACAGCGGTATTCCCTGCTTACGAGAGGGGCCGCAGCCCCGCCTTGTCACTGCTCTCTGCGAAAGACTCCCAGCCCCGAGCGGACAAGCGTCTGGCGTGATTATCGCTGGCACGTAACAGCTCAGAGCAATCTGAGCAACTTGGGGGAAGAAATAATGAGATTTGCCCGAGACAATAACATGTTTGAATGTTGCCAACTTACCTTCAGCGTCTGTGGGCTGTTTCCCTCTTTGGCCCGAGAGGTCTCCCGGGAGCCCGACAGGGCCAGGACCGGACGCACCAGCAGAGACCCCCGTTCTGCCAGTTCCCAGACCACCCGGCTCAGAAATCCCACCTCCTCGCCCCACCCACCACCACCCTGAGCCCTTGGGGCCGAGAGTTGACACCAGTGGCGAGGCTTGTGACTGATGCTGCGCTCCAGTTTCCAGAAGGAACCGGGCCCTCCCGGGGCGGCCGCATCAGGAGAGAGCCACACACTGTGGCCCCAGGGTCCAGAGGAGGGACGGAGGCTCCCCTCCAGCCTGTGACTGTAAGGCAGCGAACTAGTTTCCAGCCTGATTGGCATGAAGATACAAAAGGAGCTGGAGGGGGACGAGGAGTTCTTTCCTCGGGTTTGTCCCCCGGGGAGACAGGGCTGTGGCCTGGGGGAGGCCTGTGCAAGAGCCGGGGGAGGGGGGCCCAACGAGATCAGAGAGGAAGAGGATACGGTGCGTGAGTGCGCACACTCAGGAGAACGCGGTCTGCTGGGAAGAGCGCGTGTGTGGCCGTGCACACCTCCAGAGGCAGTTCACGCAGTGGGATGGGTGGGTGGGCTCTGAGCCGCGCGCCCGGCTTCCCCTCCCTCTGCCGCCAGAGCTTGGCCAAGTCTCATCCTCCCTGGGCCTCGCCCGTTCGTCCAACAAGCATCTCCTGAGCCCCTGAGCTTCCTGGCTGCTGCAGTCGGACTGGATCATCACTCATATCTACTGCTGAGCAGCTCCCAAGAGAGAATTCCAATGGAGGGGGGGACCCCGGGCAGGAGTGCGGGGCTGAGATAGGGAGGGGCTGAGCAAGTCATGGGGCAGTTAGACAGGGGCTGAATCAGGACCAGGACAGGAGGGGAGGGGAGGGGAGTTGGGGATAGGGGCAGTGGACCTACTGTGTGTCGGGCACTGGGCCAGCTTTACGTGCATTAGCGCCTCTCCCTACTGTGGGGGAAGTGGAGGCTCAGAGAGGGAGATTCACCTGTGCAGAGATGCACAGCAGATTCATAGGCACACACATGCCTGAAGGACACCAGGTCCCAACTCCCAACCGTTTCCTATGCAGCTGCCTCAGCAGAGAGGACACCCTGGAGGTCCCTCTGCGACGAGGAGGGCAGGGCTGGGGTCAGAGAGAAGGCGGGGATGCTGAGCTGGGGGCCGAGGGGGCTGACTTTGCCTTGCCGGGACTCCCGAGGTCCCGGTGGGGGCACGCTCACCAGAACACGTGGTCTTTGGTCACTCGCTCCTGCAGGAGCATCCACTTCTTCCCCAGGTCAGACGATACATAGAGCTTTAGGGCAGAAAAAAGAGAAACTAAAGTTTGGTCGTGACATGAGGAATGAACCTCTCCCAAGACCCCGATCTCCCCTGGGCGCTGAGTGCCTGGGGATATCGGTCCTGTCCAGCCCAGAGGAGGCCGTGTTGTTGGCGGGCCCTGCGCTCCAGGCGGGTACAGACCAACTTCCGTGAGGCGGAAGGTCAGGGTCAAGAGCTTCATAAATATCCATTCTGGACCCCAGGCCAGCTGGTTAGGAGCCCAGAGACGGGGCAGGTGAGGTCCCTGGAGGTGTGTCGGAGCACAGGCCACAGGCCGGACTTGAATGTCCCTTGTAAAAGGTCGGGGGTGGGGCGGCACTCGGGAGGAGGGAGGAGGGAGGAGGAAGTGGGAGCCGGTCAGTGCGGGGGAACCGCAGGGGCCCCTCTGCAGGCTGGCTGGGGCCTTGACCACTGCAGGAGCCCCGGCCTGCGCTCACTCGGACCGCACTTGGGGCTTATGCTCTGCGCTCACTGACTTGAATGACCCTGTAACTTTATCTTTGGACTTGAGTTTTGCGAGTGAAACTGGATGGAACAAAGAGCCTGTGTAGGGCTCGGAGCCGGGTTCCCACGGTCCGGCCTCCCCGCCTCCCAGGACAGACCCTTGGCTACCCGCCCACGGCCCTGCCTCCTCCAGAGGGCTGCCATCCCCAACCCCTGGGGGCCTGGGCTCAGCAGGGTGAGGGTTGCGAGCTGAGTCATGAGGCCCTGGGGGCCTGGAGGGTCTGCACCCGCCCTGCCCCTGTCCCTGTGCACAGGGAGCATGACGTTAAATAGCTCATAAAAACACCACGACAGCTTGAAGGAGAGACTGCGGAAGGAAGGAAAGGGTTTGGCCTGAGTTTTAACCGTTTCTCATCTTGTGCTGGACTCTGCCTGAGACCAGCAGACAAGATAAGGAGATTGGGTTGGGGGAGCTGGCAAGTACGCTCCCAGCCTCTCTTGCCTGTCAGGTCCCGGCCCCACGGGACTGGCGAGCAGGTGCACACAGACACAGACACACATACACGGACACACACACACACACACACACATTCATGGGCTCCTGGCCACTACAGGCTCTCCCATCCCCTCTAGCCTGGGGGCCTGTGGTGGCCACAGCCTCTGCTCTGGGGTAAACCGCCTGCCTGTTTTGCTCCTGCAGCCCTTCCAATGCCTTTGTGACAAATTCTGTGTGTTGTGTTTCCCCTGGGCGTTATCTGGAGCTTCCTCTCTCCTCCCTGGATGCCGACTGTTGCCGGGCATCAGACCATCATCAGGGTCATGGAGATGTCTGCAGGCAGAGGAAGGCAGAGGCCATTCCAGGGGGGAGGGAACACTTGAGCCCAGACCCTGGAGTAGGACATGCATGTGAGGTGATCAGCAAGTAGTAGGTGCTCAGCAAACAGCAGATACGGCCCCACGTGGGGGCCTCAGGTGGCAACCCAACCCCCACCCCGAGAAGGATGATGGGTCACTTCTGGTCCTTTGTCTGGGCCACCTGAGTGACCAAGCCTGGTCACTCCCCCTCACATCTCACTTTACCCATCTGCAAATCGAGAGAGCGTAGCTCATATCCTTAAGCAATAAGGGAATAAAAAAATGAGACTGTGGCCGTCAGTTTCCAGGAGCCAGGTTGTAAAACCTCCACATCAAAGGTGGGCGTCATCGCTGCCGTCGCTGCCGACGCAACTGTGTGCACCTGTGTTTATGACACCTGCCCCAGGACTTTATGAAGCCTTTCCCATTTGCTCTCACGGGAAGTGGTTTTATAACGCACAGTCAATTACTGCAGAAATAGAACATCTCTGCTTAATAAAAGACAAACACCAGCAAATGAACAAGAACAAACAGATCAGGGACATCCTAGTTACTGCAGCTGAAACCTGCACGGTGATGTCCTGGGGAGGGGTGGGCTTCGTCTAGATGTCCCTCTAAGAAAGGGGTGGAGGTGGCGGACCAGAACACACAGGCCTCTCTGATGTAAGGATAAAATGATCAGAAGTCAGAACAAGGGAGCCATAAAGGAAACGCAGGGGGCTGAGGTCAGGGAAGGTGCGTTCGCAGACACGTGTGCTGGGAGGTCTTACGCGATTGTTAGAGGCACGGCTGTTCCCCCTAGGTTGGCTGAAACCCAGCACCCTTCCCTCCCTGCTGTGGGGCACTTGGTCCTACTGCAAAGGCTGAAAAGCTGAAACCCAGCATTGCTCAGACTCCCTAGCAGCTAGAGTTCTGGGTCCGCTTTATGCACTCGTGAAAGGTTTCTAAGGAGAAAGTGCCTCAGGGGCATCTCCCTGCTGCCTGGCGCCATTTTTGCTGTCCAGCAAGGTGACGGGGCCACGCTGGGCATCCATCCTCCAGCAGGGTGGAGGGGCGGGTGTGGTGGAGGCAGGAGCTGGACTCTGCATTCCAGTGTCCAATCTCTGACTTCGTGGATGTTCCTGGGTCAGGTGGGCTGCAACAGTGGTGATTTCAGATGCCTGGATTCTGGCATCAGCTGTATGTTCTTGACCTTGGTAACCCCAGCGGAGCTCCCAGGCCCCCACCTCCTCCCTGCTGGTCCGGCTTCTGGGAGGATCCTTAGGGGTCTGGCCTGAAGTCCCCTTCCAGCCCTCCCAATGGTTTAGAGATGACTCAGTACCTCATGCTACACCCTTTTTCTGGATTTCTAAAATACCCAGAGTGAGGTCTCTTTCCTGCCTCGAGCCCTGTCAGATACAAGGGGCAGAGCACAAAGGCACACACGGCGAGGGGTGCGATTCTCACCACCCACAGAATGGCTCTGCGACTCAACAGAAGCCCAGTTTCTTCCCGATTCTGCAGTTTTCAGGTCAGAGAAAGCAAAACAGGGCATTGCAGCGCGTGGCCCTGCGGGGCCGCCCATCAGCTCTCTCTTGTGGGAGCTCTTGCCCACCCAGCCCCACTGCCTTGGCAGCGCTCTCCCTCCTCTTCAGCCTGGATAAACGCAAGCAGTTTCATGTGGACTGGAGGGTGGCAGGACTTCATTTTTCTTTTCTTGTGTGATCATCTTTGTCATTCTGAGATCAGACTAAGAAGTAAGCTTACATCCTGGCCCATTCTCTAAGTCCTAGTTCAACAACTCCTCCTCCAGGATGGCTTCCCTGACTGGCCACTCATAGTGTCTTTGCTCCTCTACGAAGTTTCTGGAAGGCAGTGCCAGGCTCAGACCAATTTCCGACGGTGCTAGGAAGCGGGTTCTTGATGGGAAGCAGAATGAATCAGAAGAGTGGGTCTATCAGTATTCCAGAGGTCAGTGCCCAGGGCTCTGCCTGTGAGCAGCCCCCAGGTCTGGACTCTGGGGAACATGCTGGTCAGTTTTGTGCCAGGGTCCCCAGCGAGCTGGCGTGGGAGGGGACTGGCCAGCTCTCACATCCTTTTGATCCCAGCAGCCTAATGCATTCTGCTGAGCCTTGAAAGAAAAACCACTGCATGAGGCTCTCCCCCAAGAAGACTGTCCAGGCTCCAAATAAGGTAGTCTCAGAGCACGCCAAGCGATAATGACGCAGCAAAGGAGGGAAGTGGAAGTGGGAGGACAGGGCAGACTGAGGATGGAAGGACAGTCTGTTTGCTAGAGGAGGGGCAGGCATCTGGGAGGGAAAAGGAAGGGAGAACACAGGGGAGCATTTGGTTTTGCAGAAATCGGCAAGTCCTACTGAGAGAGGTGTTTATGTCCTACCCGCTGACTCTGGGAATGGCACGTGACTAGCTTAGGTCTGAGGTGTGTGCAGCGATGTCTTCCAGGTCAAATCAGACATGCAAAAGTTCTTGGCTGTTTCCTCTACCCCCAGAGCCTCTGCCCTCCATCCTGAGAACAGCACATCCCCAAGTAACCAGTGGCCCCAGGATGAGAGACCCGAACTGTACCAGGAGCCAGGAGCCATGCCCAGCCAATCCTAGTCGAGCCCTATAGGACTCCAGCCAACTCATAGACCCAGGAACAAGAAAGAACGCCTATTGTTGTGAGCCACTGAGGTCTGGGGCTGTGTGTTACTCAGCATTATAGCAGCAGACGCTGCCTATCACACCAGCTCTGTTGGAATCAAAGTCAGTGTTGTCCTATCACAGCATCCTGCTTCTGGGGAGTTGGAGACCTTTGAAAACCATAAAGTCTAAAAAAAAAACAAAAACAAAAACAAAAACGACAGCCCTGCTGTCATTATTATTAATATCCTCAAATTCCTCATTCCTTTTACAACCACAGCTAAGCCTTTCTTCTGTGCTTTTTCTTTCCTTCTCGTCACAGAAAAGAACCAAAGAAAATAACTGTTTCAGCTCCATTAATTTTTCAGGGGACCATAAATTAAAGAGCAATTGCAATGCAGTCAGTTTCTGTGGGAAAATAAGTCTCTGTGATTGTGCTTTAGTCTAATTACATGGAAGGCTAAGTAGTGCTATTAATACCCAGAAGCACACGCTGTCCCAAAGGAACGTGCCAGAGCAGAGGCAGCCCGCGAGGCTGGGGAATTTCAGGGACATCCGTCAGTCAGTGAGGACCAGACCTTGGCCCTGAGAGAAGACTTGCTTTGGCCAGTGGAGTGTGAGTAGATGTGCTGTCTTCCAGGTCAAAGCAGACACAATAAATTCAAGGCCAGCAAGGAAGCCAGGTCCTGCAGCCAGCCACGGCTCAGGCCAGCCGGGAGGCTCTGTCCCGAGGTCCTTATGGTAGACATCCATCCATTCATTCATCCAACTGCCATCCATCCACCCCTCCATCCATCCATCCATCCATTTGTAAATCCAACCCCATCCATCCATCCACCATCCATCCATTCAGTATTTTCAGCCAGGAACTTGCGGTAAAATGGTGAAAGGAGCAGGCACAGCCCCTACCCTCAAAGTCTTACCCTGAGGGAGGGTGTGTGTAGGGCACAGACAAACATCAGGCAACAGCACAAATGTAAATTACACATTGTGATCTGTCCCGGGAAAGAGGCACGGCACCTGGAAGAGCGTGGAACCATGGGGCCCAGGCAGGCCTGGGGTTGTAAAGGAGGCTCCCGATGCGAATGGCTTCCACCCGCTCCAGACCCGTGCTCTGCCCTGCTCCTCCCTTCTCTGACCCTGGGGGCTGACCTGTGTAGACTGCATCCACAGACTCCTTTCCTCTGGCTTCTGGTGGGATTCAGACCAGCAGGAGACTGGAGGGCGGGAGGAGAGAGAGCCAGGGCGCCAGGACGCCTGCTCTCCGACTGCCCAGCCACCGTGTGTAGCGGCTGAGTTACTCGATCCTGGGCCGGCCTTCTCCTCGGCCCTTTCCTTGTGACTCTGGGGGCCGGGCCGCTAGTGGACAGAGTGGTAGGCTGAAAACCTTCCCCCCAAAAGATATCCGTATCCTGATCCCTGGAGCCGGTGAATGGGGCCTCGTGGAGCAAAACAGGACTTTACTGATGTGATTCAGTGGAGATCTTTAGGTGGGGAGATCACCCTGGATTATCCAGGTGGGGCAGAGGGGACGTTCACACACACACACACGCACACACACAGCGACGTGAAGGTGGAGCAGGGACAGAGCTGAAGACGCTGTCCTTGACAATCAGAGTGACTCTTTCACAAGCCACGAATCCCAGAAACTGGGAGAGACAAGGGCGGGGCCCTCCCCAGAGCCTCCAGCGGGAGCGTGGCCCTGCAGACACCGTGTTCTTGGCCCCATGAAACTGATTTTGGACTCCTGGTCTCCAAAACCCCGAGAGAATAAATTTCTGTTGTTTTAGGTATTCATGTTTGTGGTCGTTTCTTACAGTGACTGAAGGAAACAGAGTGGCCTCTTTTGCTGGCCTGTGTCTCCCTCCTCACCCCTCAGTTCTCCCCTACGAAACGCTGGCCCCGGAGAGAGCCCTCCCCTGCCTTCTCCTCCATCCCCCCAACGCGGGTGCCCTGGGTTCCTGCAGGGGGCCTGCTGGACGGCCCTCGGAGGAGGGGGTGCTGATTTGGGGTCTGAAGGAGGATTCACTCTACCAGGCTGAGGGAGAGCCGCGTGTGGGAGGGCACGTGCAATGTTCCAGCAGTGGAGGGAGGCCCTGCGGCCAGTGTGCAGAGACAGGTGGTGGAGGGGAAGGGTCCTGGTAATTATCCACTATCCAGCCACCCGTCTCACACACACATTTGTGCCCAGGACCTCTCGCCTCGGGCCCTCAGTCTCACACGAGGCACTGAAGCAGTGAGCTCCTGTCGGCGGGCACACAGGTCTGGGGGGCCCCAATCAGGGGTCTAGGTACCCCCCTGGGGTGCTCCCGCTTACAGGCCTCACGTGGCTGAGAGGCCCCCAGCCTGCTCACCTTGCTCTCCCGGGTGTAGGCCAGCACCTTGTCCTCCTCCCGGGGGTGGAAAATCAGCGTCTCCACAGAGAAGGGGATGAGCTGCTTCTGGAAGGTGGCGCCCTCGTCCGTGCTGAGGAATAGGCTCTGGTCCCGGTCGCTGAGCGAGGAGCTCACCAGGATGATCTGAAACACAAAGTGGGTGTGAGGCCTCCCCTTGCGCCGGGGGCACCCCACCCCGCCCACTCGGGCCCAGTCACTCACTGCACCGCCTGCATGGACACCCGGCGCCGCCCTGCACCCCTGATGCCAAGACTCTGATCATGACCTGAGGGTCAAGGTTTCTGCCGTAAATGACACGTTCCGCAGGGCAGAACCCGGCTCAGGCAGGTCTGAGGATCGTTTCAAGGACGATCGTGCCCCAAGGAGATAAAGCGGGACAGTGGGTTGGAGGCAGTGGGGCTGACCCGGGACAGCGGGCACCAGGAAGGGGAGCTCAGATGTGTGGCAGCCAAGGAGGTGGGACTGGAGTAGCAGAGGGTCAAGTTCTGCAAGGCCTTATGGGCACTGTAGTGGGCTGAGTTCTGACCCCCAGGAAGTGTTGTCCACATCCTGACCCTCAGACCTGTGAGTGTGGCCTTCCCTGGAAACAGCGTCTTTGCAGGTGTAACTGTGTCAACAGTCTAGGGTGACATCATCTTCAATTTAAGGCGGCCCTAAACCCAGTGGCTGGTGTCCTTATTAGAACAGAGGAAGACAGGCACAGAGAGAAGACAGAACACGGAGGCGGACATCAGGTGATGCGTCTACACCAAGGAACGCCAAGGGCTGCAGGAGCCGCCGGATGCCGGGAGGGGGCCTGGAGCGGGTCCCTGCAGCCCCCAGAGGGAACCGGCCTGGCCGACTGACACCTGCCTTTGGACTTCTGATTCCAGAACTGAGACAACAGATTCCTGTGGCTGGAAACCCCACTTGTGGTACTCTGTTACAGCTGTCCCAGAGCACTGACGCAGCTCTGGTGGGAGCTCTGCAAGAGGCATCTTACTGTCGATGGCCTGGGCAGCCTGTGTATGGCGGGGGGGGGACCTGGGAGCAGGGCCGTCTGGGACGCTGCCTCATCCTAGCTGGACGCTTTGGTGGCTCGGTCGCATTCCAACCTCCGCGATTCTCTACCTGGGGTTGTCCCCAAGCATCCGATCGCATGGGGAATGACGGGAGACACAGACGGTCGCGAGCAGCCCCAGCCAGACTCTGTTTCAAAATCGGCAGGCAAGGAGCCACAAGGAGGACCCGGGGCAGCTCGGCCACGCACGCCTGCTCCTGCAAAAGGCCCCGTGGGGAGCCTCGCCGGGAGAGTCGGAAGCCACAGCCCCACACAGGGTGTCGTGGCCATGTCCTGCTCAGGGAGCTGGCCTGTGATTCCCTCCGGATTTGCCTTCTCTCCAGTTTCCTGTTCACACGAGAACAAGCCCTGCGGGGCTGTGAGGAGGGTGCCCCTGGTCACAGAAAGGTCAGAAGTCAAGGGTCAGAACAAGGCAGCTTGGCGGCCACTAGGTGGGATGACAGGACCCCCTCAGAGGGACACACAAGAGCTCCTCTGTCCCTGGCACCAGAGAGGGTCTACCAGCTGGATGACTGGGACAGTGAGGGGGCCCTGGGCACGCGAGGTGGATGGGCTGTGAGCCGTGAGGTTCACCCCCTGCAGAGCCGGGACTGAGGCACACACTCAGTCTCCAGATAACCTGGTTCAAACTCCATGTCTGCAGACCAAATACCCTTCTGTGCCTCAGTTTCCTCGTCTATAAAATGGGGGCAATGACATGGCACCTGGCACCCAGTGAGCAGACCCAGTAAAAGCCTACCACAAGTGGGACCAGCTTGTCCTCATTCGAGCTCTATCAGGCGGCTGTTGCTATGCAGTTATCACTTCCGCATGGCAGGTGGGGAAACTGAGGCACAGAGCGGAGACGCAAACTGCTACGGTCACAGAGCCATGCAGGATCGAGCCAGGGTGGGGATCGGAGGGTGACTCCAGGGCCCTGCTCTTAGCCATGCGCTCCAGGGCCAGCCCACACAGGACGGGCGTTGGAGTCGTGCTGGAGCTGGTGGGCGGAGGGGACTAGCCTGCCTCATGCATGGCTTTCCCACGGATGGTGAAGGGCATTGAGACCCTCTCCCTCCGCATGGTATTCCCAAACCCCGACATTCCCCTAGAAGACAATGAGGCACACAGAGGATAAACCAACAGCTGCACACAGCTCCTGTCTCCTGGAACAAACTACAACCCAGCGTGTTCTTCCTTTCCAGGGAAACCTCAGCGAGCTCCCCCGCTAGCTTCCTTCATCTCCTCCAGCGCAAAACCCTTCTCTCCCCAGTGAACTGAGGGCCAGGGAGCCTGATTCCTTGGTGATTTTGATCCCTGAAAGGTGGACAAAGACATGCTCGGAGATATTCCTCGTTGTGTGGTTTCCATGCAGAAAAACGGAGTCAGGGGAGTGGGGATGGTTGGGGGAGCCATAGAGCAAGTAAAAGCGCTTACAGAGAATGCTTAGTGACAAGAGAGCTCATGCACTCACGGAAAAAAGCAGGGCACAAAATTGTAAGCAGGTGAAATTTCTGTACGTCTCACATTGACACAATTATAAGGAGGTATAATTTTGTCAATGGTAAGTGTAGAAAAGTAAGTACAATTTTGTCAGTGGAAGAGGCACAGAAATAAGAATGGAAGGGTTAGTATTCAGCCATAAAAAAGAATGAAACTTGCCATTTGTCACAACATGGATGGACATTAAGGGCATTATGCTATGTGAAATAAGTCAGAGAAAGCAATACCGTGTGATCTCACTTATATGTGGAATCTAAAAGGAAAAAGGAAAAAAAAACAAATTCATAGACACAGAGAACAGACTGGTGGTACCAGAGTGGGGGTGAGACAGAAAGGTACAAACATCCAAGGGGATGGGGTGTACAGCCGGGTGACCATAGTAAATGATGCGATGTGTATTTTTGAAAGTTGCTAAGAGAGATCTTAAATGTGCTCATCATAAGAAAAATTCTGTAGCTATGTGTGGGGACAGATGCTAACTAGACCTATTTTGGTGATCGTTTCACAATATAAACAAATAGCGAATCATTTTGTTGCACATCTGAAACTAATATAATGTTATACGTCAATTCCACCTGCCTTTAAAAAAAAGGATGGAAAGAAACACAGGGAGACGTTAATAGTGGCGGGTTTCAAGTGGTGGGGTTTTAAGGATTTTTTTAAATAAACTTTCTAGTTTATCATAGTTTTAGATTCATAGAAAAGCTGCGAAGCTAGCACAGAGGGCCCCCACGCACCGCACACACGTCTCCTCTGTGATGAACAGCTCACATTAGCAACACACGTTTGTCACACTGAGGACCCGGTGTCGGCACGTTCACGTTGTCTACAGCACACACTACATTTCGCCAGTTCTCCCACTGACGTCTTTTTTCCCACCCAGGCTCCCATGTGACACTTAGTCATCACGTCCCCTCGGGCTCCTCCGGGCTGGGACAGTTTCTCAGACTTCCCTTGTTTTTCCTGACCGCGGCGGTTTTGAGAAGGACCAGCCAGGTATTTCCTAGCTACGTCTCCATATGGGGTTGCCGGATGTTTTTCTTGAGCTGGTGCTGTGGTCATGGGTTTTCGGGGGCAGGGCACGGAGGGGAAGTGTGGTCCTCGCTGCATCCCAGCCAGGGCACACGCTGGGGACAGGACCCGTCATCGCTGGCCGGGTGGTGCTGGCCAGGATTCTCCTTGTAACACGACTCCTTTCCTCCCCACCTCCATGCTGTCCATCTGGGAGGAAGTCGCTGTGCAGGGCCCACACCTGGGGGTGGGGAGGGAGGCGCCCTTCCTGGAGGGCAGAACAGCCACACATATTATGTGGAATTCTGCCTGGGAGATTTGTCTTTCCTCCCCCATGTATTCGCTTACTCAATCATGTATTTATATCACCACGAACCCATGAATATTTATTTTACACTCTGAGTTGTATAATAGTATTTTCTTGTTGTGTTGTCCAGATTGCTCCAGCTCGGGCTACTGGGAGCTCTTTTGGGTCCCTGTGTCTTCTTTGACATAATCTCATTTTCCTTCAACTTCTAAATGTTCTGCACGGCTCCTGGCTACCCTGGATAATCAGGAGACATGAAACGAAATGACCAAGACTTCTTCCGCATCTTACCAGACACGGCACAGTTCATTCAGAACCCACTCACCACTCAGCCTGGCTCTGTGCCCGCCCCAGGCGGTGACCCCCACGCCCGGCTCTGTCTGAGCCATCTAACCAGGGAAGCCCGAATTTCCCTCATTAAAGCACTTTTCCAACGATGCATTTTTTACAATGTTCTTCTGACTTACTTACTGACCTCCCCCATCAGGCTGTGCCCCAACTCCTTTGGGTTCCTTAAGCATCACCAGAGGCCTGACCCGAGCTGTCGGCTAACCCATTCCTGATGGACACACGAATGAACCTATGCACGCACACACGCACGAGTGAGCAATTCCAGCTCAGTTTGTGACTCCTAAGGGAAATGTTTGCTTTTCTCCTCTGGGAGGAAAACAACCCTAGAGATATTTAAGTAGCCCGGAGAGCAGAAGTCATCAACAGTCTCATTCTCTGATTCCTCCTCACCACTCAAAGCTTCACACATCAACGAAGGCTCATTCATTCATTCGTTCTTCCACAGTTGCTAAACCCACAGGATTAAACAAGAATTCAGGAATTCACAGGGCTTTGTGGAAGCAGAGCAGAGGGAAAAATAGCAGAGCAGGTGCAGAACAGAGAGGGCTTCATGGAAGAGGTGACACCCAGACGAGCCTTGAAGAATGAGTGGAAATTTGATCCAGACCCTGGGGAGAGTGTTTCAGGCAGAGATGACGGCATGACCGAAAGCAAGCCGGCGGGGGTCCCTACCGAGACCATTTGCATCCTGACCACCTTTGTGGGTACTGTGCCCTCTGGCTGGAATGCACAGCAGGACCAAGACCCCCCTGCCCCAACCTCACCACTGATAATTCTGAATCAGATTTTAAAATCTCAAAATGGGCCGCTTCAACAAAGCTAAATACTTCTTTTATTTTTGGCATCCCTGCTTTACAGGAGCCCCCAGCATGAGTTTGGCCTGTCTTTACAATGGGACACCCTCAGTCTTTG